TATTTTATAAGTAAACTGTACTCTATATTATTAATAATTTATTGTGTTATTTAAAAAATACTAAATTTAATTTAAAATTCTAGGCAAATTTGTCTGAAAAACAGTTTAAGGAATAAAATATAGATACTCCAAAGTGCATAAATGTTATATATGTTATATGTATGATATTTCGCGCAGTCATCCTCTAACCAATCAGATTATAGCTTTCTTATTAATTTGGTTATTGGATTCAATCTTGTGATTCTATAATTAGAAATAGATGATCTATACCTTATTAAAACCATCTCAGTGAACTAATTTGAATGGTGATGGTTTTATCAAATTCTGTCTAGTAGTTCAAGAGTTATAGTCATTTTTGTAGATTAATATTCTTTCAAACTTATTTTCCAATTTCATGAGAACTTTGATAAAAATATCTTTGTTAGAACATCATCAAACTAAACTAAATTGATTTTAATGATAGATTTAAAATACAATATCTTGAAAGTCTAAAATTCAATTGATTGTAAGGTGTTTAAGTTCTGAATTATTTATAAGAATAAGTATAGTGATATAAAGATATATATTCTATTCTTAATTATCTCAAAAGTTGTGTTTTCTTTCCTTTTATTATGTACAATACTTATTAAACTTGCCAGTACTAGGCTATAGTTATAACTTACAGATATTCCAAATAAATATAATTTTTCATTATACATAGTACTTATTAGATCTGCCAATACTAGGCTATATATGTATCTTATAGATATTTCAAATTTCTTTTTAGCATGCTTAATAATTATTTATATGCCATGGTCAGGCTTATTTTTAAGACTTATTGCTATCTCAAATTTCAGAATTTTTCAATAGGGTCGAATATTTAATCTTCAATTATTTTTACTCAGAAATAATAAACTAAAAATGTTCTAAAAATTCTAATTATCAAAAGTGTATAGAGTTCTAGCTTTACTCTATGTAGTCCTAGACATTTATTAATTCTAGACCCAATAAAAAACTAAATTATAAAAAATAAGTATAATATATATATATAAACTAATAAAAATAAAGTATTGATATCTAACTAAATAAAATGAATAAAAAAAATAAGTATAATTGTTTGAAGAGAAAAAAAAATTCTATTTCCAATATTTTAACTAAGGGTCTTATAAAATTTGAATTCTAGCAGAAAGCTCACCCTAATCAGTCTCGAACATACAACTTATACTGCCTAGTAATACATCTTATATTGTTAATCTATACTAGAAATATTACTAAATTTCAAATTTGTATTTCTTTTGAAGATATTAGGATATTTCAAGTGTCCAATAAGATTCCAGATTCTCATGTGATTTGCAATCATGTGATGTACAAATCTTTACTATTCTAAATTTGTTAAGTCAATTTCTAATTGATTTCTAATTTTAACAAATCATCTTCTTATTAGTGTCTAATTTTGTTTCATTATTGTTTATTAAAAATTGTAATCTTTTTGTCACTTCTCTTTTTTTTTTATAAAATTTTCAATAACAACTTCAATAACATCAATAACAATAACAATAATAATAATAACAATAATGTCTCGCCAAAATCTTTCTAAAAATATTTATTGTGTCTGCTAAAATGACAACAATGCCTTATATGAGGTTTTGAAGATAGTCCAAGTTAAGAATAGGTAGTAAATATTATGTTAAAAATTTTTTTTGTTTTCTTTTTTTTTTTTTTTTTTATTATTTAGTAAAACTTGATTACAGTTTGAATTGATTAGTAATCTCATTAAGAAAAAGGATACAAAACTTGGAAACAAAATTAGAAGAGTTGAGGCCAAATGCGATCGTAAGGGTGCAAGATGATTGGATGTTAGAACAGTGGTATAATCAGTTGTTGAAGAAAAGAAATAGATTGAAGACAAGGTTGGCAAATAATGAGAAGGAATTGAAAAGATTAAGAGCAAAAAAAAGAAAAAAGGAAGAAGATAACAATGATAAGGATAGAATGTCAGGTATTAGTTTCTAAAGTTATTTTGTATATATATTTTTTTCTTTTTTTTTGTTGTTTTCATCTATTTTTTTTTTTTTTTTGGTAAAATTCATAAAACCTTTTTAAAAATTAAAATCTTAAAATTGATCTTATTTGAGAATAAACTATTTAACTGCAAGATCATTAATTAAAAGTTAATTTCAACAATATTATAAGCTTGCTGTATTCTCTTTTGATTAAGTTCATGTTCAGTCTGATCGTGAACATTATAATAATCTTTATCATTCAATCCCTCAAAGGTTGATTGTAAAGAAAAAGGATTTATTTCCTTAATATAATAATTCAATGTATAAAGAAGATACCAAGCGGTGTCCATTGGTAACTTATACAAATCCCTCAAAATAAATCCATAATAATTAACCTTTTCAAAGGCTACATGTTTAAGTCTATCACGCAAATTCAATTTAATCTCCTCGATATACTTCAGATCAAAATCAAATTCATCACGTATAGTCTTAACTTTCTTTCTTTTCCTCATATTTTCCAAGAAAGAAATTATTGAATTACTTGATTCAACACCGCGCATATTTATCGACATTCTTTCTTGTGGATCAATATGTTCTTTATTTTTTGTATAATCTCTTGAAACAGTTTTACAAAAAATTTTTAGAAGATCGGGCATCGTACCCCATGGTGTCATAAAATCACCAGAAAAATCGGCATATTTTGGGAAATCATAGTCAGCCCTCATACCGATACTTAATTTTGGATCGATAATTTCCAATAAATTCCGCATGCGTATTTTTAAAGCTTGTAAGAAAACTCATCACCCTTCAACATCAATATACAAGCCTCATCCCATTCAATTAAGAACATCAATATGAACATTAACAATACCGTATTCATGAGTAAAGTCATGCTTTCACCTGAATCCTTCACACCGGTTTTCCTGAACCTCACAAATCCGGCATTCATAATCATCGAACAACGCATTTCTCTATATAATTTCATTATTTCATTACCGAAAAACATTTCTACCAAAATATCCTCCAACATTTGCGTAGGCATACCTTGCTTCTTATCATATTGTGATACATCCAATATAAAATTGGTGAATTCCTCAATAAATCTTATTCGCACAAATTCATGTCGCTCATCAGTTGTCACACCATTATCAAACATGATAAATGGTATACCGTTCTTGAAACCTAATATATCTCTCACCTCAGCCATAACTTCAACTGTGACATTTACATAACCCATTTCTTTAGCAATCTTTGAAATGATCTTGTCATAGACACCACTACTCATTTTCTTAAAAGAATCTGGTAGCATATCTGCAATCACAGTACCAATTGTGCAAAAAATCGAATTCGCCAATGTTGACCATGCCGAAATACCTTGGCCCTTCTTATCAGCGTTATTAGCCTGACCCATTACTACCTTCGTAATTGTTTTTAAAAAGAATTTTATTTCAAAATCTGATTGCCTAAATTCATCAAAGGGCTTGAGATCGAACAATCTCCCGCTATTTTTCTTAATCCAATTATTAAAGGTTTCCTTAAGCTTATTACTTAATAATTTCGAATAATCTTTTTTCCTTAATTTTCTTAATTTGTTTTTATCAAAATAACAATTGATAAATAAATTCTTAATGCGCGTATACTGCGCGGCCCAAGCTGCAGATAATTTCTTCTCCTTACGTTTCGCATATCTATCCATCATAGTCATAAAAGTTATAAAATTAGATTTTTCAAAAGTTTTTCCAAAACAAGGCTGCCCCAAATTTTTGGGTAACATATCTTCGACATTCAAGGCCTCACTAGTATCAAGAGCGATCGGAATTTCAATATTAATATTATCAAGAATAAATGCTTTATTGGCATAAATACCATTTGCATCTTGTTTTCTAGCAACATGAGCCGCAATCATACAATCTTCCGTCATATCTATTGATTGTCGAATTTGATATTCGTCAGTGCAATTCACTTCGACGTGTTAAGTGCACTCTTCTGAAAATCCACATTGGTTGGTCTATTCGTATGCTGATCCACAAGGACATCAACATGATCTTGAATATCAATGCTAGCTAATGCACTATAACTGATAACAAATGAAATCAGATTTGCTGATAATCCGCTACTGGCTTTTAAATCAACATAAAGATCTAAATCGTGTGAAACACGTGTAAAAGCAACTAAAATATTACTTCTGAAATTACTGAAAGAATTTAATTCCATTTTATCAGCTGCATAAATTGAACATGTCTTTAAAGTCGTTCCCTGACTTGCTTTAGCAGTGACAATCTGACCGATAGAAGAAGCATAATTGATAGCAAATGCTGCTGTACAACATATACCAGTTCCATTGGCTTTGCGTAAAATATTTGGTGATCGTAAAACAATATCGGTATTATGGTCCGCTAGCGAAAATTGACAATATTTCAAGACAATATTATTCATTAAAGAAAGAGAAGCACCATTACGAAACGTATATAACCGAACACCCTTCATTGCATCATTAACTGCATTTCTAAAGGTAACCTCACTTTTGACACCAAGAAGACACGGTGAATCAGTTTGTTCTTGATCACCCATAAGAATAAATTCATCATATTCAAAATATGCTAAATAAACTATTATGTAAAGAAAGTCTATAGCGCCTGCCTCATCAATGTAGAAAATACCACCCTTTTTCTCAATATTTGTTATCATCTCAAATGTTCTAGTATTATACTCATGATCCTTACTGTTCTTGTCAAAACGCGAACGCAATTTTGCAATCGTCTCAACTAGATTTTGATTGAATGCTGTAACATAAGCTGAATTGTATTTATAGTTTTCAACAACATAAGCGGTCTTACAACAACCAGCGACACCCTGCAAAATCTTTAGATTTTTGCTATTAATTTTTGTATAACTACGACTTGTTATTATATCATCTGCCATTTTTTTTAGACTGTTATACCGTTTGTATTCATTCGTATCTGGATCCCATTCATCACGCATAGTTTTCATTTTTAACCCAAATGCAACAATGTAATCCTTATAAGCCTCATCCGTTAAATTCAAATTAAATGTTTTTGGTACACAAGACAATCTTTCCTTTAAAGTTTTCTTCTGCATATCAGAAAAAATCACATAAGCACCTTTAATCGACAAGCGTAATGTGTTGAATTTACGTGCAGCTATGACTGTTTCATCCTCCCAATTTACTAATTCCCTTTGTACTGAGTCAAGCCTGTCTGCTTTAGACCACAAATCAATGATATTTTTTGGAATTAATTCTTTAAAATCGTTGAACATTTTACTATTACAAACAATTGGTATAAGTTTTGAAGGTCTGATCGATTTGTCAATGGAATGTTGATCGTGTGCAATTTCAAAATTTTCCATATTTTTCGTCATCATAAAGATTGATTTTATTGAAACTATAAATTCTATTATCACCAATTTTCTTAATACCTCTCTTATCATCATGAGTAAGTGAATTACTATTCAATGTACTAACAAAATTTTTAAGATTATTTTTCTTGATACCATACTGACTATTTATACATTTGATATTTTTTTTGAAAATATTTGAAAGTACTTCATCTCATAGTCACCACTAATTTGTTATCCTATATCTACTTCTTTTAAGATAGTAGGTAACTAGAGCAACCTTAGATAGTGAACATTTTTTGTAACCTTATTTGTTACTGTGTTATAACTAAGTCAGAAGACATTTTATTTTAAAAAACTTAACAAAGAAGATTTAAGTCAATTTGCAATTATGAAAGAGGTTACAATTAAAAGTATATAAGGATACTAATAACTGTTTAATTTGGGTAATATAAAGTAGTAGTTCATTAGTAAAAGAGTATGAAGACTTGATATTGAACTTGGGATTCATATCTGCTGCTTTTATACTTTTTGACTACATAGTGGATATAATGGTCTATATCTTTTACATGTATAAGATATTTTATAACTACTATTAATAAAATAAATAAGATATATTTGATATATAAAATAAATAAAAGAAATAAATTAAATAATATATAAAAACTAAATATAATATAAAATATAGATGTTCCAAAATGTATAAATGTTATATATGTTATATATATGATATTTCGTACAGTTATTCTCCAACCAATCAGATCATAGTTTTCTTATTAATTTGGTTATTAGATTCGATCTTGTGATTCTGTAATTGAAAATAGATGATCTATATTTCATTAGAACTGTCTTAGTGAACTGATTTGAATAGTAGTAGTTTTATCGAATTCTATCCAGTAGTTTAAGAGTTATAGTCATTTTTGTAGGTTAATACTGGTATTATAAATATGATATTTACTAATCATATAAAAATATTTTATAATATAAAATTTTCTAAATCTGTAAACAAAAAACTATATAATAAAAAAAAATTAAAATTTTCATATTTAAAAAATCTTTCTATATATTATTTATATAACAATAAAGTTTTTTTATATGTTAAAAAAATTAAATAAAAAAAGTATATTGTATAATATAGTAGTATAACAAAAAATAGGTTGCAGTAACATAGTGATTTGATTGATAAATCTAGCATGTGACTATAAAAATTTTGTTAGTGATACTAAGGAAGATAGATATATATTAATAATATTTTTTTTGTTAAATTATATTAATTGTGATAAAGATTAATATATAACAATTATAACAAAAAATCACTATTAATCGATTATATAAAAAACCTAATTTATATTGATAAGTATCAAATAAATTTTATATTACTAATTTATAACAATAAAATAACAATATTAGTTTTAAAAATACTTAAAACATCCTCTAAGTGTCAGATCTAAGGTTCAAATCCCACCTATAACAAAATTTGGAAATTATATTTGTGTTATAATAACTGTCTTCTGTCAATCAGTTGGCCTCATGTGGCTGTTACCCAGATACACCAGGTCAGGTCTCCCTGACTTTGGGAGCTCAGCATCTATGCGAAATGTAACATTATATGTACATAGAGAAATGTTAACCAGTATTGCATAAGACTTCAGTACAAACCTATGATAAGATTACCAGACATAGAAGACTAAGAAACTAAGACAACAGAAACCCACTTGGAAATTTCTAAGTAAAGAAGTAGCATGAACTTTCAATAATACCATTGGACTGATTGAAGCTCATGAAACATCTTCATAGGAACTGAAGATTAAAACTAAACAGCAAATATGTGTAGAGGAGTATATAACTAACCAGGCCGCTGGGTTCACTAGAGAAAAAAAATACAGAAGTATATCATATCGGGCTATCTGAATTGGTAGTCTGGAATGAGACCGATGGTTCTGAGTTGTGGCTAGTAGGGAATGATGGAAAAGATGTCAGAAAGATGGGTACTAGGTTCTAGTGAACTTTACAAAAGTAGAAATAGTATAACATAGCAGTTAAACTTCTGTAATTGCAAGTGTTAGGTAACTATAGTGTATTGCATAAAACTAGGTCTATATATATGGGACATAAAGGCTCTAGTAAGTTTTCTATCAAGGATAAAGTAGTCCTAAGGATACCGATAAGCATCAGGAACTTGGATGGGTGGTACCTTGAGATGTTTTTATGATATAAGGAGAACTATATATACAGAGTGTTTAAATAGTTAAGACCTTTAGTTGGCTTGCAGGTATGGCAACTAGTATAGAACCTATATAGTAATGTGTAAGTGGACTACTTAAATTAGGTACCAAAAGTGCATATGTGGCTAGTTGTAATCTCCAATGTAAGGTGAGACTTTAGTAGCATGCCATGTCCTAATATACTTGAATAAAAACATCGCAACTTCCAAGATAGAGACTTTAACTTAAAAAAAAAAAAAAAGAAGATATTTGGCTACTTTTATAAGATATAAGTAAAGCAAATAGCTCTGTTAACTTTACTCTTTTCAAATATTCATTTTCTTATTTTTCACTTTCTATATCTATTATTAATATTCTTTTTAATCTTCTTACTAATCACTATAACTAAGTTATTACTAATCTTAGTCTTATATCTTTATACTCAGTTCACAATATCATTAATCAAGGTGAAACTATCACTTTTTTATTGTGACACATATATTATAATCAACTTATCTCATATATACATACACAAATATCTGGTTATACTTTACAATCCTTTTGGACTACTAATCTTAAACTCCAAACATCCAACTTATTACAAAAATAATGCTTCATTCCAATATATATAAATAATACTCTTTGGATTGCTTTATTACAAACTGAACTTTTTAACATATTATCTATAGCTAAATCATTTTATGCTATAACCAACATTTATGTCAATCTTTCAAAATTTATTCTGATTACCAACAACTCTCCATCTCACTATATCTTTATATTATATAATAACTACCTTCTTTTACTTTACTTTTCTAAACAATTTTTTAAATTTTTAGATTGTTGGTTTATTTTAGACAATAGTCAACTTAAACAAATAATATTATCACAAGTTTGTTATTCAAAAAAGTAACTACAACACTCATTATAAAGTTCTTGCTTTATCTTAATTAACAAATTTATTATAAAATCTGAATTTTTTATTATATTTTAAGATTTATAGTTCAAACTTTTAAATATAACTTATTATTAATCTTTGTCTTACTTTCATTATATCCTCTTCTGTTTAACTTTATTAGTTTAAAAATAAACTTTTAATATATTCAATAGATTAAATATCAAACTAATTTTTTATATATAATTACTAATACTTAATTTAGATGACATTTTAGTTAGTTTAGATCACAGATAAATTAGTCTAAGTTTTTATTCTTTTTATAATATTTTAAAAGCTGAATTGTACTTTATATAAAATTTTAATTAAATATTCAATAAAAATAAAGGCATGGCTTCATTATTAATATTAAAAAAAAATTATAATTTAATTAATCTAATAAAAGATATTTTATTTACTAAAATAACTATTATATTTTTTATTAAATTTCTGTTTTATTTTAACTAACAATTTATACTCAAATCTAAATACTATATTATACTTCTAAACCTCAATCTACTGTAGTAAACAATATTAATTATTTTTAATATTTTATACTACTTAAAACTTATTGTCTTAAATGCATTATATTTAATTATTAATTCAAAAATTAAAATATATTATTAAAATAAATCAAATATCAAATAAATTCTTTTATTATAATTATAAATTCTAAGATCTAGATAAGTTTTGGTTATTCTGATAAGTTTAGATACTAAGAAAAGAAATAAATTTAACAATTTTTTAAAAACTGTTTTTTTTTTTATATAAATCAAGTTAAAATAAAATTATAATTGTTTTTTACTTAAAACTCAAAAGTAATTATATTAATAAAATTTTACAATATAACTTTTTAAAGTTTGCATTTTTGTATAATTTATTATAAGATTTATAACATAAAAATTAATTTTTTAAAGATCTTTTTTTTTACCAATTTCATTTCTTTTCTTAGCACCTAGTCAAGATTACAAATAACTTATCTGAGCCTTTAATCTTAATATCTTATAAATATAGAATTCAAATATAAACTTCTATATATTTTATTTGTAAAAAGTTTAACTGAGTTTTAATAAAGATAGAGTCATAGTTTCACCTTAATATTTTTTTAAACTAAATAAAAATTTTAAAAATATTTACAAATTATTTTAACAAAATTTTATTTTAAAACAAATCTAATTTTTATATATAAAACTTTTAATAAAATATTTTTATAAATATTAACTTGCTAAATACTGTATATATTTTAATATAAAATTTAAACATAATAACTCATTTGGCTAAATACGTATAGCAACTAGAAAATGTATTTACCAACTATTTAATAAGTCTTGCATAAATTAAATTTTAAACAATTTAATTTTTATTAATACATTTAGTTTTAAACCAATAATTTTTTTAATAATAAGCCAAGAGTTTATTATATAGTTGCCTATAAAGAGTAAAAAGTCGAGTTACGTTCAATTATATGTCACTGATAATTGGCCATGATAGGGTTACTCTACACGTGATCCAAATAATTTAAATATATAATACAATATAGATAATAGATAATAGATAATATAGTTAAAACAATAGACATTTATACAAGAGATTAATATTTGAAAATAAATAAAAACAAATTCATAAATACTTTCAATAGCCTTAGATATTATGAGGCACTTCCCGTTATGGCAAAAATCTTGCAGTGGGGAATAATATCGAATATTTTATCGCCAATTTACACCTGTCACGTGCACGAACCCGATGCTTGTTTAAAGATCGACAATGCACAGACTATTTTGACACATGTTCATGCGCTCTAAGTCTATGTGCATATAATACTTTTTATAAAGGAGACCATAGCATTGTTGAGTATAATCAGCAACGAAAAAAAA